AAGAAAACAAACAAAAACATTTAAAAATCTATTAAAAATGTGGTGGTTTGAAATAGCATAATTTACAAGTCTTTCTTCTTTCAACTGATATTATTCCYATATAATATAAACGTTGTTGTTTTGTAGTCGTTCAAGAATCGCCGAAGCGCAACAGTTTGCATCAGAACATTTTCATCCAGGACAAGACAAGATATCGTAGAACGTTATAAAAAGCATATATTTAATCTTATTTAAGTTAAGTATAAGTCAGATGTAATTATTGTTTACAAAACAAATTGGTAAAAAAGTAAACAGAGTGAAAAAAAATTCTACTTTTTAAGACAAAGTTCTTGATATTTAGTGTATGCACAAAGCTGTAGAGTCACTCAAGGAACATAACGAAACAACTGAGATGGTGTCTAAACGATTTGATTTGAAACTAAGAATCACTAAAAGATGGCATACAGATTCTGAGATGTACATATTTTTTAAATTAAAGTGTTATAGAAGAAATTTTCATGGTATCRTCATGGTTTAACATCGTCATATCCAAGTGTTTTTATACTGTTCTATTGTATTTTCCACGATTCTATCTTTATTCGGCATGAAAAATCTACCTACACTTCAATAACTTCCTTCCTAGACTCTTTTTCTTTGTTTGAACGAAAGTGACTGGTAACTAGCTTGCTCACTACTTTATCCAAGTTATTTCTAACACCCATAAAGCTCTAGTCTCATTGAAATGTGATTATGGTAGCTGAGAGGTATTATTCTGACATATCTTGCCTTGAAAGGTACTTGGACATCATTTGTTACTACTGTGTTTCCATCGGTATTTCCACTAAAAATCTGCGCACAGGAGAGAAAATTGTATAAGTACATGAGTGTGTTTTATTGCYGGCAAAATGTWTTAAAATTGTTTGGACATTTTGAAAAAGAATGGTCTGTAAAGCGAAGTTGAACCCGAGTCCTCTTGAGAATATCATGGGMYGGTTGTGCGAAKGTTGAATAGCGTTGAAAGCTTACCCAATTTATAAAATCTTATCCAGCTGATTRAATCCTTGTAAAATCTATKKGGTGAATGAATTTATTCATCTTTCGTACAACGCCCAAAAGGATCGCCAATTCACAGTTCAGGTTGTAAACTTACCTTTTCGAAACCAATAYCAGCTTCAATATCAAATTTATACCTTTTCYTTAGCTTTTCTGGATTATTTCAAAATATTCTACCTATCATCTTACCTTAACGCAAGGGAGTGTTGTGCCATTATACTGAGTCCACATTTTCGTATCGTTACTGTAGGACA